CAACCAAGGCTGTGTCATCTGCATATTGTAGGTTGTTAATGAGTCTTCCTCCAATTCTGATTCAGCATTCTTCTTCATGTAGTTCAGCTTCTCGCATTACTCACTCAGCATACAGATTGAACAAGTATGGTGAAAGGATACAACCCTGACACACAACTTTCCTGATTTTAAACCATGCAGTACTTCCTTGTTTTGTCTGAATGACTGTCTTGGTCTGTGCACAGGTTCCTCATGAGCACAATTAAGTGTTCTGGAATTCCCATTCTTTTCGATGTTATCCATAATTCGTTGTGATTCAAAGTCAAATGTTTTTGTATAGTCAATAAAACACAGGTAAACATCTTTCTGGTATTCTCTGCCTTCAGCCAAGATCCCTCTGACATCAGCAATGATATTCCTCGTTTCACACCCTCTTCTGAATCCAGCTTCAATTTCTGGCAGTTACCTCTAGATGTACCGTGGCAACCATTTTTAATTATCTTCAGCAAAATTTTACTTGCATGTAATATTGATGATATTGTTCAATAATTTCTGCATTTTATTGAATCACCTTTCTTTGGAATGGACACAAATATGGATCTCTTTCAGTCAGTTGGCCAGGTAGCTGTCTTCCCAATTTCTTGGCATACATGAGTAAGCACTTCCACTGCTGCATCAATTTGTTGAAACATCTCAGTGGGTATTCTATCATTTCCTGGGGCCTGGTTTTTCACCAAATCCCTCAGTACAGCTTGGACTTCTTCCTTCCATGCCATGTTCTTGACTCATGTGCTACTTCCTGAAATGACTGACCACTAACCAATTCTTTTTGGTACAGTGACTGTGTGTATTCCTCCCATCTTCTTTCAATGATTCCTGCATCATCCAATATTTTGCCCATGGAAACTTTCAATATTACAACTCGAGGCTTGAATTTTTTCTTCAGTTCTTTCTGCTTGAGAAATGCTTAGCATCTTCTTTCCCTTTGATTTTCCAACTCCAGGTCTTTGCACATTTCATTTTAATACTTTGTCCTCTCGAGCTGCCCTTTGAAATCTTCTGTTCAGCTCTTCTACTTCATTTCTTTCATTCACTTTAGTTACTCTCTGTTCAAGAGCAAGTTTCAGAGTCTTTCTGGCATCCATTTTGGTCTTCTCTTCCTTTCCTGTCTTTTCAATGGCCTGTTGCTTTCCTCATGTATGATGTCCTTGATATCATCCCACAACTCATCTGGCCTTTGGTCACTGATATTCAATGCATCAAATCTATTCTTCAGGTGGTCTCTAAATTCAGATGGGATATAAACTCCCCTCCCCCTCAAAAAAAAAAAAAAAAAAAGCAGCTCTGGTGGGGTAGTGCATTACCACTCCTCAGAAGGAAGGTGGGATATACTCAAAGTCATATTTTAGCTTTCATAGACTTGTTTTAATTTTCTTCAGCTTCAACTTAAACTTGCATATGAGCAATTGATGGTCTGTTCCACAGTTGGCCCCTGGCCTTATTCTGACTGATGATACTAAGCGTCCTCTTTCTTTCCACAGATGTAGTCAATTTGATTCCTGTGTATTCCATCTGATGAGATCCACCTGTATAGTCGCTGTTTACATTGTTTAAAAAAGGTATTTGCAATGTTTAAGTTGTTGGTGGTGCAAAATTCTAACATGCCATCTCTGGGGTCATTTCTATCATCAAGGCTGTATTTTACAACTACCAATGCTTCTTGTTTCCAACTTTTGCATTCCAATCACCAGTAACTATCAATACATCTTGACTATACGTTTCGTCAATTTCAGACTGCAGAAGTTAGTAAAAGTCTCCAATTTCTTCATCTTTGGTTTTAGTGATTGGTGCATAAATTTGAATAGTCATAGTAACTGGATCACTGACAGCACTGTACTTCAGGATAGAGCTTGAAACGTCCTTGATAGTGAATGCAATGACATTCCTTTTTGTCATTCCTGACATAATTGACCATATGAGCATCCAATTAAAAATGACCAATACCAATTCATTCCAGCTCATTAATGCCTAAGATATCAATCTTTATATTTTCCATTTCATTTTTGACAACTTTCTATTTCCCATACATTCCATTTTCCAATTATTAGTGGGTGTTTGCAGCTGTTTCTTTTCGAGTTGTCCCACATGAACAATCAGAGGCAGATATCAATGCACAACTGAGGGAGCTGAGCTGGAAAAGGGATTTACCTTTTTCTCCAACCAGAAATCTGAGGTTTAGGATACAACCCTATCAATGGTAGTGCCTTGCTACCTCAGCAATTGTAAGAAATTACTTAATTTGTTGGGGAAGCTCCCTAAGTCCTACACCCCATAAGAAACTCACTGTTGAGTCGATTCTGACTCATAGCAACCCCTCCTTGGGTTTCTGAGGCAGTATCTCTATGGAAGTAGATTGCCCAATCTTCCTTCCAAGGAGTGGCTGGTGGGTTTGAACGACCAGCCTTCTGGTTAGCAGTCAAATGGCTTAGGCAATTTGCCACCACAGCTCCTTAGGAAGGGAAACAGAGAAGTATATCAGACTCTTTAGAAAGATCAGTATGTATTATCTTAAAGCATAAAAAACAAAACAAAATGTACCTGTTATTCTTATCCATCTCTTGTGAAAATCACTGAATGAAAATTCTAAGATCCATTCTAGCTTTCAGTCTTTGACCCTGACCTTTAGTTCTACCTCTTACACTGATCCTCTTCATTTGTGCAATTCTAGGTTGTAGCAGGTAGCCTAGATTATGCAGATGAGTTGAAGCAAATGAAGTAAACCATACCACAAAATGAACATAATCTCTTTAATAATTAGGTGCTCTCAGAGTTTGGAACCTTGAGTACTGAGATCTAGTCTCAACCTCTTAAAAGCTGTTTCTTGGAATGGAATAATAAATATGAAATACACTTACTCCTCACTTACCTACTATCATCTGACATTTCCCAATTGTGACAATAGTGAAAAAAAAAAAAAATCTATTTTACGCATTAATGACATATATCCGGTAGTAATGAATGTTGAGGTGGGAGTCTAGAGTAATGCTAACTGTGATGATTATGTGTCAACTTGGCTGGGCCAAGATTCTCATGGTTTGTCAGTTATGTATTGATGTAATTTAGCAGTTATGAAATGATGAAATTGGGCAGTCAAATAATGATGCATTCATCCTCCATTTTGTGATGGGATGTTGTCATCCCCCATTTTCAAATAATGCTGATTTTTGTCTACCAACCTGCCTCACTATGTCAGTAAGTGAAGAGTGGGTGTATCCTTTTACTACCTACTGGCCCACTGGAATCAAATTTTAAAAATTTAAATTTAAAAAGTAGTCAAATAAGCAAATTAAAAGATAAAAAGAGACATCATCTTTTTCCATATTTTTAATTACCATTATTGCACCAGTACAGCATACGCTTTATATACATATATCTTAAACTTCATTTTCAATTCTTTCAGCAATTCAAATACATTAATATATTATCATCTTGAGAATATAAACAATGGACATAACATGGAGGAAGATTGAGAAAATAGGCTCCCAATAGTTAGTCACTAGTGATTCTATAGAACTTTTTTAGTGTTTTCTATTGGAATTTAAAAATGTCCTGCCATGGCTCTGAAAGAATAGAGCTGCCTGGAAGGGGAGGTAATGAAAAATAATGGACCCAAAGTTAGAAAAGACGAAGAAGGAAATCCAGGAGAGACAATATATTTTGGAACTACATAACCTCCTTTCAGAGTGTACACATCCGAATAGACACTAAGGGAACAATTACATCTTCCCATTTTATTCTCAAAACTGCATATTAACAAAGTAAATAGATAGTGTCCATTCAGAACTCTCTTCACAGCACTGTATAAGGAATGGTGGGGCATAGGGAAAGAAACACGGTGAGAGAGCAACTTGCTTTTGAGATATCAAAGCCTTCGTTTGGGCAAACCTGTCACAGCTAAAGCTAGGACTCTCCAACCTCCTTCACAGATGGCAATACACATAGCAGCAGCATTCTACCAAAGAGCTGAAAGGATTGAAAAAGAAATGTTTACGGAAAGGGCTCAGATACCCAGGCTCCATGGCAATGTGGGTATTAAACAACAGTTAAATGCTTTCAACCTCTCTGTTCTACAGATGAGGTTAAAAACTCTAAATTCTTCAACTTTAGGTCAAATAATGGGGCAAATACAAAGTAAAGCTGTGCTTCAAAAGCAGCAACTAGATGGAGCTGCAAGAAAACAAACACTTTTCTAGCATATAACTGGGAGAGCACAGCCCCTGGAACCTCCTTCATCCAACGGACACCCACTGGTCAAAGATGGTGCACTAGTCAACAGAAAAGAATCATGTAGGTGCCACCGACACAACCCTCTTATCGTAGGAAGAGACATGTAAACACACCAGAGGGTGACGGGCTGCACCCAGCAGCGGATGTTTACTGGATAGGATAAGCCTGAAGGATATAGAGCAGAGATCCAGGAGACAGGTCTTTCTCCATACCTTCCCCTATCAAAATTCTTAATTTGTATACACTAAGGTCAAGCTGTCCATTTTCAGAGTCTTGGGTTAATGGAGAAGGAAGGTTCAAGATTTTTATCTCCCCTGAAATTGCTAAATAGGGCTTCACAAAGAGGCACATTGGGGTCATGAGATGATTCAGTTAAAGAATTTAAAGGAGGGAGAAGAATTTTATAGATGTTAGAGGTCACTTCCATCTCAAATACACCCTGGCCTTTTGAATGCTGCATAATCAGCCACCAGTATGGTAAGATATGGTAAGACCCACTACCCCCTAACTTGGCAGTGAGCAGGGGGATGGCATATACTCTCTTGGCTGTACAGCAAGTAAAAACAAAGGAGACTGACATAAACCAGCTTGAATACAATGGAGAAGCTATGAAAAAGATTGTCCGGTAATTTTGGTTCTGGGGAGGGAAGGGATTTCTAACTTCCCTCATGGATTGGTGCCCTCAAGGTCATCTTTATTCTTCAAGTCTGTCCTTAATGTCCTGCCAATGCCATTCAGAACTGGACCCAGTTGGATGGTTGTGGTGGCTGGTTGGAAACAGAGCTGTAAGACCAGAGAACAGAGAGAAAGGGAAAAGCATAATATTAGCATAACTACTCTATTCTTTACTTAATATTTCTAAGAAATTACTGCCCCAAATTTACAAGAATTCCACTTGCCAAGGCCTGAAATATCCCACTCATTGCTCATCCCACTGCTTCTTGTCCCACCATCCCCAAAACTCCTAAATTTCCTTTCCCAGAACTCCTGCCAAAGACACTCTATGACCTGTAAATCCTGTTTCCCAGATCAAAGATCTCCTTTGACTATGGACATACCATCTATACTTTGTCTGACAGCATGTTGGCTTCACTATGCCCATTACCTGGATGCAGTGCTAAAGTCTCCCCACAAGTCATTGCTTGCAGAAACTGGAGCTGGTGCTGGTGTTGTGACAGGAGCAGGAGAATCCAAATCTAAAAGGATATCTGAACACAAGGTAAAAGAGAAAAAAAAAAGGGGGAAACATAGTAAGATTCTTGGAAGTGAAAATTTATGCTTACCTAAAAACCTGTAGGCAAATGTTCACAGAAGCTTTATACATAATTGCCACAAACCAGAAACAATGCTTAAACACACTGCAGTACATCCATACCACAGAATCCTGCTCAGCAATAAAAAGGAACAAACTATTGACAAATGCAACAACCTGAATGAACCTCAAGAGAATTATGCTGAGAGGAAAAAGAGAATCCCCAAAGGTTACACAGTATATGATTCCACCTACAAAACATTCTTGAAGAGACAAAGTGATAGAGATGGAGAACAGAATGATTTCCAAGGGTTAGTGATGGGGAAAAAGAGGATCAGATGGAAGTGAGTATGATTATAAAAGGGAGACATGAAGGATCCTTGTGGTGATGGAACTATTCTATACCATGACTTTGGTTATAGATCGATGAACTTACACATGATAAACTGCATAGAACTAAATACACAAATGCACACATACACACACAAAATAAGCACATGCAGAATTGGTGAAATCTGAGTAAGACTGGTAAACTATATCGATGTCAACTTCCTGGTTGGAATATTCTACTCCAGTGTTGCAAGATAATACCATTGAGGAAAACTGGGTAAAGGGTACTTGGGATCTCTTTGTATTATCTATTATAACTGCATATGCATCTTAAAATAAAAATTTTGATAAAATAATTAAATCTTGGATATTATGGTGTCAAAAGTGAAAGAGACTTAGATATCCAGTCTCTCCTCGGTGGGTTCTGGCAATACTTACCAAATAAGATAGGCTATAATCTTTTTACCACAAAAATTCCAGAAAGACCTAAATTCTCAATAATCAATTCTATGAATAATTATCATTGCCCAATACATTGAGTTAAAACCCCAGATTCTAATATCTGATTCTCTAATATCAAGAAAATTTCCATTCCTGTCTGAGATCTAATGTTCTCATTTTTTAAATTAGGAAGAGATAACTACCATACATCTATTCTTTTTCCCACAGCAGAGTGAAGAAGAACCAAAGTTGTATTCACAAATCTAGATGTCTTCTCCTTTTCTCCAAATAGCCCTTGTGACAAAATGGAAAGGATTAAGTACTAACATTTACTGAATGGCTACTGTCTTTCAAATACTGTGCTAGGTGCTGCCACATGTTTAAACCTTCACAATCCACAGATTGCTTTAACTCTCCATTTTACAGATAAGGAAACTGTGTAAAATTCAAAGAAGTTAAATAACGTTACCAAGCTTATTCAAATATAAAGCAGCAGAGCCATGACTGACTGGAATCAAGGTCCATCTGGCTCACAGCCCTAATAGTGTCTAACCTTGATACACTGATGGAAACTGTGTTTTTAATATCACCCATTCTCTGCCAAAGAACCTAGCAGATATTATGACTCTCAGTTAACCAGAAAAGCACTGACCCTTTGCCAGAGGCTGCCAGATCACTTTGTCAGTACAAGTGTCTCTGAATTAGGCTTGAAGCATAACAAAACCTCAATGTTCCCCTTAGCAAATACGTTTTTCTCAAATTGTAAGATATGATTTCTCAAAGTTAGAGATTTCTTCTCAAAGAAGAGATTTACCTGCATCACTGCCTCCATGGTTAGATTTTGGAATAGGTGGTGGGGTGACATGGTTGCTAATGGCAACTGAGGAGGATGGTGGAGGAATAATGATTTTGCCTCCAGGTGGGGGTGGGAGTAAGCTTAGGCCTCCAGGCCCCGCAGTTCTGGGCTTAGAAGCCCCTCCTTTCTTGGTTGTAATGTTCTATTCAAAAAAAAGAAGAAAAAGGTCACAAGCTTATAGAAACACAAGAAAATAAAATGAAAAAAAGAAAACAAAACATACTCACCCCAATACTCAATTTGATAGTTTGTCCCTCCTTAAAGCCCAAATCCAACTTTGGACGAGTGTCCATTTCCTGAGACTCTTTGGAAATCTCGGATTCCTGCTTTACCCACCTTCAGGAAAACAGTAAATTATCTTAGTTTGGATTTTCCTGAAAGCAGAGACTGACACACAAATCTGGGTGTAGTTAGATTACTTGAGGGGGAATCCCAGAAAGCAGAGTGAGAGATTATGAAGGGTGAACACAGAGGGCAACTAGGGCTCAATCCCACCAAAGCCTCTGAGGTCTAGACTTGTCCCCCCAAAAGGAAAGCATTTATCCACCAATTCCCATGGTGGAGGGCTTCGCCTGTGGGTGTTAATTCTCAATCTTTCCAGGTTGCATCCCTAGGCTGGTTGAATGGCCTTCCACAGCTTGAGAGAGTCCTGAAGCAGAAAGGCAGATATACCTGCCCTTGAGGAGGAACACTGACAGTGTGTGTGGTGCTGTGCTAAAATCTAGTGGGCTAAAAGGATGAAACAGGGTCAGGACATCATCAGCTACATAAGGTAACAAAACTGGCACATAACTTCTATCTCACATATAACCCTGGTGATACTGTATGCCCCCCTCTACCACCTAAAATCAAGGGTAAATTCCCTAAAAGCATAATCAAAAGCATCCTCTCAAACCACTATACAGGAGATCTAAAACATATTTCAAGCTACAAAGAAAGGACGCACATAATAGGTACACAGATAATGTAGGAAACAGAAATGACTGGGGAGACATAATATTTAAGATAAACTAGTTTACCAATTAAAGAAATCAGGAGGTAAAAGAGATAGTGCCTATTAATCTGCGAAGCAGCATTCCCATAACCATTCAATTTGGTAAGTTAAGAATGAGCTTCACTCACTTGAAGTGATCTTGCAAGGAGACATTAAAGTCAAAAGCATCACCCCGATCTGTGAAGCCAATGCCAATGAAAGCACTACGCCCTGTGAAAAAGATGAGAAGACTCAAACAGGAAGTGGCCCCTAAGACATATTCTGCCCAATGAAAACAAAACAGATACACTAACTAGATACAGTCTGTGAATGTGAGACACTTTCTCATAGTAGTCAGCAAAACTATAGGCCAAATCTGCTATAGCTTGTTCTTGTAAATAAAGCTTTATTGGAACACAGTCACACTAACTTGTTTATATATTATCTATGGCTGCTTTTGCACTACAACAGCAGAGCCTGTTTGTTCCACAAGCCTAAAATATTTACTATCTGGCCCTTTACAGAAAAGATTTTCTGGCCTCTAAAACAGACATGGAGAAAAGATTGAAATCTACTGCCATAGAAATAGGTGACTGAGATAGTCCCACTAAAAACCACCACCACAAACAAAGAAAAGAAAAAATGCATTATTTTTTTTTATTAGAGATGCATTTTTATTTCATTAAATCCACCTACTAATTGCTACATTTCTTAAACTTGTGTTTATAACTATTACTAATAACATGTTAATGCTTCTCCTTTAGCAACTGTAAGTTTGAAGAAAGAAGAGAAAAAATTTAGTAAACAGAACAAAGACAAATGCAATAGGGAAAACACTTTCAATGACAGTTCATTGGCTATTTTTCTAACATCATCCCCTTAAAAATCCCAGATCCCTTACCAGTGCCATCCTGAATCCGTATTACAAAGTAGCGACTGGAATCTGTCACTGTCTCCACAGCAATGCCAGGATATTGTTCTACTGGTGCCTGAGCAAAAAGCTCCCCTAACAGATAGGAAAAACTTTTTTGAGCAAAGGAGGCAAGAATCTAGAACTCTAATTCAGAAGTATCTCCATCCCAGTCCTCAATATGAAAAGTATTATAAAAGTATACCCAAACCAATATCCTTAATAGAGTAAAAGGGCACCTGCACAGATTACCTGAAACTTTATCCTCAAGTTTGATATAGGCAATCTTTCCTTTTGAAGTGATTCGTAGGCGACCAGTCCAATCAGGTTGGTCTAATTTCCAGTCAGATGCCCTAGGATAGGAAAATAGGAACCCTCAGTCTTTAGATCATGTCATTAACATCCTAAAGGCCACCCAGAATCACCTACAATATTTCCTTTTCCCTTTTCTGAATTACTTATTCTTTCTCTCTGTGGTAGTTCAGTTTATGTGTCAACTTGGCTGGGGCTGGTTGAGTGGCTAGGCAGCTGGATGTAGTATTGCCCCATGATGAGACTGGTAATCAACTCCATGGTGGAATCTACTGTGAGTAGCTGAGTAGCTGCCTTAGGGAATGTGGTCTACTTCCTGTATATAAGCAGAACCCTTGAGGAATGGTCTCTAGCTTATGGCACGCTTGGATGTTGCCTGTAGCCGAGTCGTTGTTCAATAGCCTGCCATGCTGTGCCGACCTTGGGACTTACAATGGACTTGAATTAAAGGCCTGCTGTGTGGTTTAGTAACATTGGATCTGTGCCATTTTATTTGTCAACCTTGGGTTTGTCAGCCTCAGCAGCCAGTAGCTGTCTGAGTGAAGAGATGCCTCTAGCTCCAGTCACTGGGAGTAAGAGGCAGAGCTGAAGCCCAAGGCTGAGGGGCTTTCACACAGCCCCTAGAGCCTGGCACTTTGAACTTGGACTTAAAGCCTCCAAACTGTGAGAGAATAAACTCCTGTCTGTTAAGGCCATCCCATTTGTGGTATATTCCTGTCAGAGTGGCACTAGGTAACCAGAGTACTCCCTTTGTTGTTGTTGTTAAGTGCCATCGAGTCAAACCCAATTCATAGCGACCCCTCCTTGGGTTTCCGAGGCAGTATCACTACGGAAGTAGGATTGCCCAACCTTCCTTCCGAGGTTGGGCAATCCTACTTCCGTAGTGATACTGCCTCTCAATGGAAATAATCAACAAAAATAACATGATTGCCTCTCCATAGATGGCTTTTGTTACATACCACCCAAAACAAGTACCAAACTAAAGGATTTTGAAGTTCAGTAAGTGTAAACAAAAACATGTGAAAATTCAAATCAAACCAATAAAAATATTAAAATTTCTTATAATGATGCTATTTCCATACTATGGATGATATTCCATATAATAGTGCTTCACTGATCAGGGATCAATAAAGTCTACTAATTTAAACATTCTGGATAACAGAAGCCTTCCCAAATCCCTAAACATACCACTATTGTTCTTTTTAATATTTACAGAGTGTTTATTATGTCACAGGCACTGTTCTAGGTGCTTGGGATATAAAAGAGAATAAAATAAAGATTCCTGTCCAAATGAGGCTTATATTTTAATAGAAGAAAAAAGAAAACATAACAAATAAGCAAAATATGTAATACCTTAGAAAGTGAAATACTAAGGTTAAAGAAAAAGAAGCAGAAGCAGGTAAGAGGAGACTGGGGGGGTCAGGGGGCAAGTGAATAGGTTTCAGCATTTGAGAGTATGGTCAGATAGGACTCATTAAGAGGTGAAATGTTAGCAAAAATGTGAAGTGAAAAGTTATCTATTCAGCTTTGTCGGGGAAGAGGATTCCAGCACAGGTAACACAGGTAATACAAAGGTGCTAAGGTGGCAGGATGCCAGGTATGTCTACTTCCCAGTCTGAAAGCTTTGCTAAAACCTGTCTACCACGGTGACCTTGCTAGTATTTGAAAGACCAGTGAAACAGCTTCCAGCATCACAGCAAAACATAAGTCACCACAGTTTGACAAACTGACAGATGAGTGGTGACTGACAGTGGCTGCAACAGTGGACTCAAACATAGCAGTGATTGTGAAGACGGCGCAGGATCAGGCAGTGTTTCGTTCTGTTGTCCACAAGGTCACTATGAGTTGGAACCAACTCAATGGCAGCCAACAACAACAAAGGCCCTACAGACCATTGTAAGAATGTTGGCTTTTACTCTGAGTAAAAGAGGAGCTAGTACAGGGTTTTAAGCAGAGGTGTGACATGATCTCCCTTTTATTTAAAAATATATGTATTTTGGCTTCTACGTGGAGAGGAGTGTAGGGCTGAAGCAGGGGGACTGGTTCAAGAGGCTTGTAGTAATCTAGGAGAGTGGTGATAGTGGCTTTGAAGAGATGGCAGAAGTAGATGCAGCTGAATTCTGTGTATTTTTAAGGTAAAGTCAATAGGATTTTCTAATGTACTGGATGTTGTTGTTAGGTGCCGTCGAGTCATCCCTGACGCATAGCAACCCTATGTACAACATAGCGAAACACTGCCCAGTCATGTGCTATCCTCACAACCCCTGCTATATTTGGATGTAGGGTATAAGAAAAAGAAGTCAAAGACAACTCCATGGTGGTTAGCCTCAGCAAAAGAGTGGCTGATAACTGAAATGAGAAAGTTAGAGCATATCTGGGAAGAAAGATTAGATCAGTTTGGGTATGCTGCTTGAGAAGTTTGGTAGACATTCAAGAAGAGATGTAGAGTAGCCAGTTGACTATTTAAGTCTGGAGTTCAAGAAAGATATCTGGGCTGGAGATAAGAATGGTCAGGGAAGAATGGTCATGGAAACATTAGAAAACAGTGAATATGTAAAAATCTGTTACAAATGAATTTGAATGCAGCTTAAGATATTATTTAAGTAAGACAGATTTTACAAAATACTGCATTTGTGATTTCGTTTTGCAGGAGTGTAGAAAGGATAGCACAAACTAAAACTGACTGGTAACTCATCCCCTATGAATCTGAAGTCTAATAGCTACAGATTAGAAAGGTAACAATGAGATATATCTGAAGAAAGGTGAGTATGACAAGATGGTAAGTAAAGGGCAAAAAGGAGGAAAAGTGAAAATCAGAACAGATCTTGAACAGCATCTGTAAAATACACCCTTGTCACTCTCATCCTTCTTCACGTCCTGCCCTCAAGAGCCTCAGGCACCGGAATCTGATCTGGCTGAGAGTGCTCTGGATGTCCCTGTCCACCACATTTTCTAAAATGAGTTGTTATTTATGCTAGCCAGACCACCAAGAGCTAGACTTATGTATAAATAGGCTACGGAAAATACTAAGAACAAGCCTATTAATATGACTCTCTGGACAATTGCCTTGTCTTTACTTATCTTTGTAATGTCTACTGCCCAAAATTTAACATATTATCAATAAAAAACCAAACCCACTGCCATCGAGTCAATTCTGACTCATAGCAACCCTCACTGGGTTTTCAAAGTGGTAAACTTCATGGAAGTAGATTGCCTCGTCTTCCTTCTGCAGAGCAGCTGGTGGGTTTGAACCACCAACCTTCTGGTTAGCAGTCAGATGACTTAGGTACTGCACCGCCAGAGCTTCTCTATTACCGGTAAAGGGATGTATATTCATCGCAGCACTTTCCCTCAGCCATGGACCTAGTACTTCTCTCCAAGATCTACCTCCATCTCTCACAACTCTTGGTTTAGCTAGTCTTCTGACAATACTCTAAACTGACCTACAAATTTTTATTTGTATCTTAGCAATAAAACTTTATATATAAAATAAGAATGATTATATA